CTTATATTTTCTATCAGCTGCAGAAATTTCCAGAGGAAACAGAGCAGTAAGTATCTTTGAAACTCGGTTCTCTAAGTTTGGGGCCAGCTCTCGACCAATTAGCTTTTCTTTTTAAGATTTTATTTTTAAGGAGTCTCTACACCCAAGGTAGGGCTCGAACTCAAAACCTGGAGATCAAGAGTCATATCCTCCCCTGACTGAGTCAGCCAGGCACCCTTAGACCGATAAATGTTTTTCGTTTGTTGTTTGGTGGAATACAGGTCTTTTCCTAACGTAGCCAGTCACAAACAAGCGAGTGTAGGACCCGAAGACTAACTGAATTCATAATGTGAATTGTTATTGGCCATACAGCTCATCACCTCCTACAGTCACAACTTCAAGTAAGGTCAAAAACCAGAAATGAATATAAAGGGGAGTCCCCGAGCAGGGACTCAAGGAAGGACGCAAAAAACTTAAAAAAAAATTATTTAATGTTTATTTTTTGATAGATACAGAGTGCGAGCCAGGGAGGGGCAGAGAGAAAGGGATACACAGAATCCCAAGCAGGCTCCAGGCTCCGAGCTGTCAGCACAGAGCCCGACGCGGGGCTTTAACTCACACCCATGAACCGTGAGATCATGACCTGAGCCGAAGTCGACCTTAACCGACTAAGCCACCCGGGCGCCCCTGAAAAAACTTTTTAGAAGCGTGTGTAGGTTGAAGGGCAGAAGTTACTGGCAATTCAGGGCCCGCACCCTGTACCGGTGGGTCCCTAGGCAAGTCAGTGCGGGTCTCTGTGACACAGGGTGATGCCACAGTGCCCGCCTCCTACCCTGGGAGCACTGAATTGGCCAACACACGTAATAGTTAACGTGCTCGTCAAAGGTGAGTGGTCATTTGTGCAAGTCATTTTCACACTCCAATCAGCAGTACAGATGACCAGCCACGTCCCAAAGTTCCGTGTGTGTATGTGTGTGTGTGCGCATCTGTAATATATGAATTAGAACACCTCAGAGAAAACGTGATATAGTTCCAGGAGAGTGTTTAGTGAGTCAACCATAGCACTCAGCTTGTTCAACATTAGCTACTGGGCTGCTGGGTCCGAATGAGGGGTCTACTGGCTTAGAGAGAGAGAGACTAACCCAGAGCATTACATCCCAGTGTGGGGGTCAGCACACCTTTTCCGCCAAGGGCCACATAGTAAATATTTTAACGTTTATTTATTTTTGGGACAGAGAGAGACAGAGCATGAACGGGGGAGGGGCAGAGAGAGAGGGAGACACAGAATCGGAAACAGGCTCCAGGCTCCGAGCCATCGGCCCAGAGCCCGACGCGGGGCTCGAACTCACGGACCGCGAGATCGTGACCTGGCTGAAGTCGGACGCCCAACCGACTGCGCCACCCAGGCGCCCCCACATAGTAAATATTTTAGACCAACGCCACGGCAGGGTTTGTAAGTCATGGCCATTATTTTATATTAATTCTACAACCTGAATGAACATGAAACGGTAACTTAACCGCTTCTCAAATCATCCTGACGTCAGTATGAACGTGTAAAGAAAGCCTTGTAGAGGGGCGCCTGGGTGGCTCAGTCGGTTAAGTGTCTGACTTCGGCTCAAGTCATGATCTCATAGTTCATGGGTTTGAGCCCCGTGTCGGGCTCTGTGCTGACAGCTCAGAGCCTGGAACCTGCTTCGAATTCTGTGTCTCCCTCTCTCTCTGCCCCTCTCCTGCTTGTGGTCTGTCTCTCAAAAGTAAAGAAATGTTAAAAAAAAAAAAAAAGCAAGCAAGCAAGCCCGCCCTCTGGAAACCAAACCAAAGTAGAGTATTCACACCCAGTTTACAGGTGTACAAACACAAAGTGCCGTGAGGACATGCTTTTCTTCCCCTTCTGTTTCCATTTCTTGATAATATTTCCCCACAGCAAGGACTTCAAATTCCCGCCAAGTCTTAGGAATGACATGACCATCCAATCCCTGTTTTTTGGGGGTCATGATTCCTGGCTGTTGGCGACTGAGGACACAAATCCAGAGGACGGGTTCAGACTCAGAGCCAGATGGCACCTACACCGCCTCATTCCTTGCCCACCCATGGCTTCTAGATGCACTTGGGTGCTCGCAGCCGCCCCGCCTTGACTCCATCACATCCACCGGCAGCCCCGTCCAGGGGCTCCGTGGCCGCCAGGGGCGCGCCCGCTCGTGCGCGGCTCCGCTCTACTCCCGTGCTCGTGCTCGGAGAGGCCCGCAGCCCTTCCACAGGACGTAACGATGTATTGAATCAGGGAAACAGAAGCCTGGCCTCTCGAGAGAAGACAGTCCGTGTTTCCAAAATGGCCCAGTGGTGAAGGGTTTCCGTCCAGTGCATCCCACACCCCTTTGCTTGTTCAAGCGTTGCATAAATGCAATCTGGGGACTTTCTGTGTCACTGAATAATGCACCTCAAAAACAGGGGGGGAAGTTTGGCACAAAGGTCTGTGGAACGGTAGACTATATTGAGAGCATACGTATTATAAATGAACAGTAACATCAAACCCACAAAAACAAAACCGAATAAACCTCTTCTGCTATCTTAAGAAGCAGAAATTCTCAGCATTAAAACGCCAAACAACAAACAAACAAAACCCAGGATGTGATCCAGAGATTAAAAATAAATAAGCATGTGCAGACGAGAGACACCTACGTGAAGCTAATACTCACTTTGTCTACACCAGCACTCAAAATGTAATTCCCCTTCTTGTTCCATTTCAAGGCAAAGATGGGGCCTTTGTGTTGCCCTAAGGTGCTGGCCAGGTTGCCTGTTGCGTAGGGAAACAACAAACAGGTTGACTTCAAAGCCACGGTCGGCTCACTGGGTGATTCCACACTGGGGCACGCCTGCCCCCACCCCACACGAGGCAGGCCGGGCTCACCATCTTCCGTCCATATCCTCGCAAAACCATCATAGGAGCCTGTGGCCAACAGCGTCCCGTCGCTCTGCGGGCCAGAAAGAAACAGACAGCGCCGCCAACAGCTCAGTGGGGGCAGCGTCGAAAACAGAAGACGGCCTGTCAGCTGATCCCAGGGCGAGGCTACTCTCCCAGCAGGAGCTGGCTCCCAGGGAAGGGACAGACCGACCCTGTGCGCCTCCTGGAGCCCACACTGCTCCGAACCCACAACGTGAGGCACTGTGAGGACAGGCGCAGGAACAGGGGAAATACTGCCACCGCTCGCCCCGGTGGCACAGTTACAACCACCGTATGAGACGTGACGGTAGTGAGGCTT